GAAGATTCACAGTATTTTCCACCCAACCAAAGGGCTTCTGTCCAAAATACACACCTGCACGCTTTTTCCTGCAATGTTCCGCAAACACGGCCATCATGAGGACATCGAGGCGTGCTGACCGATTGGCCATTTGGCCCGGCTCAGGAGACATTGCTTGCCTTGAGCAACGAGCCAGAGATGTTTGCTGGACGTCCTTGTCCAAATTTCCTGAAATCTGTTCTCTGCTCCTCAAAATCGGAAATCTGTTGTGTACGCCTGACGATTCACAGACCTGTACCCCTGGGGCAAATAATACATTATATATTAATAAAAATAATTAATTTTAAAATTTTAAAAATCGGAAATTTTAAAAAATCGGAAATCTGGGAAGATCTTTCTCCTCTACTCTCTGTCTGGCATGAACGTGAGAAACGCCTTTCCGAGTGTGACAACGACCACCCTGTCATGATCGAGTGGCCTGGGCCGCGTTCTGGCCTCACTGTTTTATTTCCTAGAACCCTCACCGCAGACCCCGCGGGAGGCGCTCTCTCATCTGTCATTCAGCGATGGCTACTGAGCATGCGCCGCCTGTGGGGCACTGGAGATCAGGTATTGAAGTGGAGAAAGTCAGGCCTCCGGAGTCTGCAATCTAGACGGGAGAAATGTAATAAAGAAACAAACGCACAGGCATAGACGTGGATATGCATCTAAACACACGTATGAGTGCTGGAAATTGGGCCAGGGAGAGAGAATCCCTGTGTAAAAGATTACATCAGGGAAGAGGGAGAGACAGAATTATGATCTCAGGGTTGTGGAATCGAACCCTGCATCAGCCTCCTTGCTCTGCAGGGTGTCTCCTTCTCCCTTCCCCTCTGCCCCTTTCATGCTTTCTCTCTTGCTCACTCTCTCTCAAATAAATGAATAAAATTTAAAAAAAGAATAGGGTTTCTAAAACACTCACAGAGCTCTGAAGAAAGAGAAGGAAGGGGCGCCTGGGTGACTCAGTGGGTTAAGCCTCTGCCTCAGGTCATGATCACAGGGTCCTGGAATGGAGCCCTACATCTGGCTCTCTGCTGGGCGGGGAGCCTGCTTCCTCCTTTCTCTCTCTCTCTGCCTGCCTCTCTGCCTACTTGTGATGTCTCTCTGTCAAATAAATAAATAATATTTTTTTAAACTAAAAAAAAAAAAGAAGAACGAGAAGGAAGAAGTCCCACCCCGTGTCTTCTAGGAATGGTGTTTCTGTGGGACAGACACACGATGTCAGTGCCTGAGATCCCACCGTGTTTGGGGAGCTGCAGAAATAGCAGGAAGGCTGCTTGGTTTGGGTGAGCAATGGGGAAAGTCCGAGGTCAGATGGAACAGGGGCTTTGGCATTTTTCCCTAAGTTTTATGAAGGCCATGGGGGATACTCATCACAGCAGCAGCAGCACGACCTTGCTGTAGCTCCTATGTAGAGAGAATGGAGCGGGCGCACAGCTACAGAGCAGGGAGCCTGGTCAGGTAGCTGTGTGGTGTGCTGGGGGAAATCATGATGCTTGGATTAGAGAGAGAGCATCAGCAGAAGTGGGACGTGGCTGGGTCCAGGAAACTCTCAGCTCCACGAGAGCTACCGATTAAAGGTAAGTTATCATTTGTCTGCCTATGGCTATGACTCAGCTTTTCTAAGAATTGATACAACTTTCCTTGTTACGTTGACTTTCAATTCATGCCCATCATCTCAGATTTTCCCACGGTTCAGACAAGCTGCGGCCAATGAGCTCATTTTGCAGAGCTGAATCAGGGTGTTATGGGCTAAATTGTGTTCCCCAGCTCTGCAAATGTACACACTGATGCCCTAATTCCCAATGTGACTGAATCTGGGGATAGAACCCCTAGGGAGGTAATAAAGGTTAAAGTGAGGGGGTAAATCTGGGACCTTAAGCCAATAGGGGTTGTGTCCTTATGAGAAGGGACTCCAGAGATCTCTTTCTCTATATACAAGCACAGGGGAAGGGCCATGTAAGGACACAGGGAGAAGCTGGCCATTTACAAGTCACAGAGAGAGTTTTTACTCAGAAATCAAATCTGCCAGCACCTTGATCATGGACTTCTGGCCTCCAGAACTCTGAGAAAAGACATTTCTGTTGTGCAAACCACCTGGTCTGGAGTATGTTGTTACAGCAGCCCTTGCAAATTCATACACGGGGTTTCAGGAAGATGTATGCATCTTACCTACAGTGACTCAGCTCTCAAACACAACAGCGCCTGGAGAAGGGTAAAGGTCTGCAGTGCACTCACTGTGGACTGGGCAGCTCTGAAACATGGTGGCTAACGTCCCCAACTACTAAGTGGGAGATCCAGGAACTGCAAGTTAGTCTATGTGACATTAATGCCCATATATTTTCCACTGGGTCTAGAGCTGCCCTTAAAGGAGACCTGAGTCCAAACCCAGGGCCATTTTTGCAGAAGAGAAAGAGCCCCATGTAACCATCTCTCTGCTAGAATCATGGGTAATTTCTCTCTTGGGTTTCCCTGTGATTCACATAAAAACTCTAGAATCTAAAGTCACCTCTGCCCTTTGGTAGGTTTAGAACCTTAAGTGTTTGGGTTTTTTTTTTTTTTCCTTTCCTTTTTCTTTTCCTCAACTCTACAAGCGTTGTTGGCTAGATAACAACTCTGGTTCTGAAAAATATTTTATCACAGTTGGTTGAGTGCCTTGTGGCATAATGACGATTCAGTTGAGCAAGAAAGGAATAATGGGTCCCCTCTGATGTCCATGGCAGCCCTTCGAGAGGGTAGGGTGTTCTGGGTCCTGCTCAGAGTGTCCCGGACATGCCTTTAGGGAGTGGTTCCAGGTGAACCACCAGAAGGTTCCTCACCAACACTGCACGTACTTATCAACACCTCTGATGACCTCATGAATATTCAGGAATATAACTTTCCATGATCTTTGGGAGAAATGATCATTAGAACCTAGAGCATTTTTCTAAATTTACCCATGGGGCACCTGGGCGGCTCAGTCGGTTGAGTGGCTGACTCAGTATCCACTCATGTCGTGATCCCAAGGTCCCGGAATCAAGACCCGCATCAGGTTCCACTCTCTATGAAGAGTCTACATCAAGATTCTCCCTCTCTCTCTCTCTCTCTCCCCCACCCTCTCTCTCTAATAAATAAATCTTTTTTTAAAGAAAAGAAGAGAAACACTTTAAAAATAAATAAATAAAATCAATAAAATTTGCTCCCCAAAAGGGAGAAATAAATCAAAGCCAAAGATGGTCTCTTTCCCGACAGCAGAAACTCCAGTATCTGCCACAAACATTAACTGATTTAAATAAGAGGATTGGAGAACTGGTCTCACATTGCCACTGATTTTGTTTGTAGCATCTGAAATAGTCATGGTTAGGGACTGGGAACAATGGCGTGATTGAAAATTATTAACTCAAGAAAGAAAAAAGGAAAGGAAGGAAGGAAGGAAGGAAGGAAGGAAGGAGAGGGAGGGAGGAAGAAAGGAAGAGGGAAGGAGGGAGGAGAAGGGAGGGAGGGAGGAAGGGAAAGGAAGGAAAGGAAAGGAAGGAAGGAAGGAAGGAAGGGAGGGAAAGAATATTCACTGGGTTCTCCAATGGCATGTATGTAGCCCCAACATTTCAGAGATCTGGAGTACAGGCTCAGAGAACAAAAAGAACTCTCCAGAGTCACTCAGCTGGCTGCCTGGAGTGAACCTGTGCTCTGCCACTTTGGCCTCACTTTCCCCAGCTGTCAAGCCAGGGACACGAGTCCCAGGACATGGAGCTGTGTGAGACTCCTCCCAGCCTGGAGCAGCGCTGTTGCTTCCCAGGACTACCTACCAGCTGACCTCTCTAGTTGCAGAGCGGTCAGAGGCTGTGTTCAGCTCCATCCCTTTTAGCAAAAGGCGAAAAAGCAAACCCCACATGCTAGGTGGGGGAAACGCAGCTTCTCCGGGCTTCGTGCTTTTATCAAAGTTTCTCCAGTTCCATTTTCTCATCTCTGTTTGGAAAAGGCAGATGTGTTTCTCACCAGTAGCCGGTCCCCCAGTGCTTGCAAAGGGGCGGTGAGTGAGTGAAGTAACCATGGGAAAAACTTAGCTCAGACAGAGGGTCCCGCAAGGGTGAGGTGAGCGCCCTCCCTTCCCCACGGTTGGCCATGGTGATGCTTGTCTTGTTCCGCATCTTGGATTGCCCTGGGGGTCCACCAGGACTCCCCCGCCCCCTTTACCAGTACTCATCTTTCCATCCCTTGCCTCCCTTGCAAAGTGTGTGGGCCTCTTCCACTCTTCCCAGATCCCTCCAGAGGGGGTGGCTGGGAGAGGGGGTCTAACGTGGGCCACGCCCACACGTGGGAACTGGGGTGAGCATCTGTCCTTTATGTGGGGTCCCTGCATGGCTCAGTCATTAAGCTTCTGACTCTTTCTTCTCAGGTCAAGATCTCAGGGTCATGAGTTCCATCCCTGGGCTAGGCTCCAGGCTCGGGCTCAGGCTCAGTGCTGGGTTGGTCTGAGATTCTCTCCCTCCCCCTGCTCCTCCCTTCCACTCCTGTGCCCTCGCTCGCTTGCTCTCTCTCTCTCTTTCCAAAATAAACAGAAAAAATAAAATCTTAAAAAAAAAAAAAACAGTAATTAAAGGAATAAATGGTACGAAATGGATATGGAAGGATCAAGCAAGCTACGGAGCTGAGCCGGAGCCCGGGTTCCCAAACTTGAGCATTGTGGCACTGGGGGGGGGGGGGGGGAGGGCAGCGGTTAGGGGGGCGACGGATTTGCATTTCTGACTCCTGTGCAGGTGAGGGGGCTGGAGCCGGTGCAGGGAGCCCACTCTAAGCACGTGCTAGAGCGCATTCTCAGGGGGATGTTCCTGATTCTTCTATGCACACCCCCCCACCCCGAGATTGGGCTCCGAGAGCCTGCTGTGGAGTCAGTCCGGGTGCCGGTGCCAGGAGAGCAGCTCCGTGGGAGGGGCAGACGCCGAGAGTATAAACCAGAGGCAACACTGGCTCCGGGGCAGGCCGTCTGCAGGTGCCCGGAGGTGATGAGGAGTCCAGTGAGCTGGCTATCCCTGGCTGTCTGTGTGGGTGGGCTCAAAGCAGGTGGGTGAAGGAGGGAGCAGGGGTCACGGCAGGAAGGGGAGACCCCCTGGGATGTAACGGTTGCAGTGAGCAGGGCAGGAAACGGATTCCACCGCGGGTCCCTGGGGTCTTTGAGCTACAGCATAACAGCTGGTGCAAAATAAAGGGTGTGGGGGCTCCGCTTGTATCAAGTGTCTGAGATTGTCAGACTCCCAGAAACACCGTGCAGAGGGGTGCACGCCCAGGCTGGGGAGAAGGGAGCCGGGGAGCTTGCTGTTCCGTGGATGTAGGCTGAGGACCGTCTGCCCGCTGTCGGCAGGGCTGTAATGCGGACTTAAACCTGTGCTAAGAAGGTAGATCTGCTGCAGAATGTTCTTACCACAATTAAAACACACAAAAATAAATAAATAAATAAATAAATAAATAAATAAATAAATAAATAAAAAATAAACAGAAATAAGAGAAAGAGGACACTTATCACGTGCTGCTTTGGAAAGTTCTCTTTCACGATCTCCCTTGGATAACTCAGTTGCCGTTTGAACCGTATCAATTACCTCCCCCCAAAAACAGACCAATGCCGTAGAGAGCAAGTGATCGTTATCTCAGGTCGCCCGCGGCGGGGTAAGGATTAAAACCCTGGAAGAGCCCCGCCTGCACCGCGCGGGAGGGGTCCGCGTTGGTTCCCATTCCCCTCCCCCACCCCACCTCCGGAGCCATGGAGACTGCGCTTGAGCGGGGCACCCCCGGCCGTCCAAGCCCAGGGTGCTGGAACCTGCTCCAGGGTTTGGACTCTGGTTGGGAGATGGAGGAGCGAGGGCTGCTTCAGAGAAGCCGGGGCTGACTCCGTTGAATGCTGCGGGGGAGCGGGGATTCTGTCTGGGTGTCCGCAAACCCTGGAGGGGAAGGCAGACCAGCACGAAGAGGAAGCTTTGGTCAATAGGTCAAGAAGCAGCAGCGACCCCGGGGACAGGCGTGGTTGGTAATCTGTGGCACAGGGAGCCGTGGAGGGCCAGGGTTTCGGGTGTCCGGTGTCAGGCGGCTGTGTTTTTCCCTTTCTCAAAACACAGGGGACACACTGTAGGTCCTTAGTTAGTACCCGTGGTCCTCAGTCAGCATCATTAGCTGGAGGCGGACCAGGAGGACCGGGTGGGAGGGGTCAAAACCATTTAACAAATGGTAAAAAGTAGTCATGTTTGGCCGGAGGCACAGTGTGATAGTGACCTAAAGCACAGTGACAGATGATCTGTGAGGATCTGGTGGGGTTCCGCCGTAGCAGTAGATGGGAACGGCCAAGGACCTTTTCTGGGGGAACCGGCGTCTGCAAGAAATAGCCCGTTCCTTGGAACCAGAAGACCAAGGTGGACATGAGCCCGGGCCGCACGCATTTTTGACTGTAGCCAATGTTTGGGTGAAAGCGTCTCTCTGCTCTTCACGTGTAAAATGAGAAGGCTGTGGGGATTACAGACCGCAGAGATGAGAGGTGGGCGAACATTAGCGGTTCTGTGGCAAGCCGAGAGCACTGCGACAAAGCAGAAACTTCAGCACCCATGGTTTTATGCTAAAAGTATCCTAACTCACCACCAACACCCAGAGGGGGGCTCAGTTTTGCGGCAGCTCCCAGAAGGGTTTTGGGGACAGAAACAACGCCCCCCCCCCCCCAGAGGCAGGATCATTTTAAAGGCTCAGTTTCTGGAGCGCCAGTACCTACCTATTCAGTTTTATGGCTTTGACAGTGATTTCCCTCTCTACACTTCCATTTGTGTATCTACAAAATGGAGGTCATTATCAATATGTAACCGAGAAATGTAATATATAATAATAATCCCAATCTTTCAGGGGCCATGCAAGCAACCAGTGTCAAGGAGATAATTGGCATAAGGCGCTAAATACGAAGGTAGACACCTAGAGAACTACCCCAGTGACTATTTATTTAACCATGCCTTCAAAATCGTTGACATGTTAGCTTCTTTCTGAAGAGCAGGGCTGTGATCCCCTAATATTGGTGCCAGACGCACCACACAGCAGCTCCTGAGTTAGAGTCTCATGCGAACCTACAAATGAGCATTGTTGTATCGGAGACAAAGTCAGGTTCATGGATTGCACAGGTAAGTCCCTTGCCTGCACAGGTCACCTGCACAGGTAAGTGGCAATTCCAAGATGGCATCAATATCATGGTCAGAACACAGCCTCTGAAGTCAGACCTCTTGACTTTGGACCTGGTTCCTACCAGTTGGTGGTCATGTGACTCTCTCTGTTCCTGTTTTCTCAACTGGAAACTTTTGGGGGAATGGGGAGAAAGAGAGAGCTCCCAGTGAGAACCTCTCCTAGGGCTGTTTTAGTTAACGAGAACAGCTGGAACATGGCAATAGCACAGTAGACCTTAGTCAATGTTATTGGGTAATGAAACTTTGTATTTCCCTTCTAGACTTTAGCAAGGTCTAACCTGGATTTAATGGTCTAACCTTACTCCCTACAATGGGCTCAGGGATGATACAGGAGCAAAATTTTCCAAGAAGTGAAACACACAGAACAAAATCAGCATTGAGGGTACACTGAGCAAACAGGTTGTTTTCCTGAAACATTGACATGTGGGCAAAAGCTAAAATGTTTCCTCCAACCTTGAGACTTGTGGAATTTCAGCTAATAGGCGAAAGCTGGGTGACACTAGATTTCCTCGAACTTACTCCAAGAAAGACCTTGGGGATAGTCAGAGCTCACACCTGAGTTAAGTTAAGGGGCTTTCTTGGGTAGATGTGAGACATCTCCTCAGTTGACCTAAAACAGCCCTAGGAGAGGTTCTCATTTGGAGAGCCACTCGGCAAGAGCCTGCCTCCATAGGAAGTAGACCCCAAGTCATCCAGAATGTGACAGCTTAGGTGTTTCTGCAACACGAGGACAACTGGCTACATGTACTTCAAGGTATTTTAATAGTCATTAGTTGGGCACCTGGTTGGCCCAGTGGGTTAAGCGGCTCAGGTCATGATCCTGGAGTCCAGGATCCAGTCCCAAGTTAGGTTCCCCACTCGGCAGGGAGTCTGCTTCTCCCTCTGACCCTCCCCATTCTCTTAGTCTCTCTCAAATAAATAATAATAATATAAAAAATAAAATCTCTAATAGTCATTAGTCTAGGAATGGAGTGTTTTAGGAGCTGGATCTAAATTTTATCCATTTCTTTTCACTTTCAGAATTGATTACCCATTTACACCCGCCGGTTCTAGGTAAGGAGACATCTCTTCATTTGTTAGCGTCTCAAATGTTAGCCTCACCCATGAAACAATGTCATGATCTTGGAGATCCTTGCACTTCCCACCATTTTGCTCTTCTGTTATTCTTCTGGCTGTAAAGGCCCTCCCTGGTCATGACAGCCAAATCCCAGATTGATAAAATTCACCCATTTTAAGTGTACCATTCAATGATTTTTTTAGTAAATTTACAGAGGCGTATAAACATCACCACAATCCAGTTCTAGAACATGTTCATCACCCCCAAGAAGACCTCTTGTATCCATTCGCCGTCACCCCCCTCCAAATTCCCGTCCCCACGCACAGGCAACCACCAGTCTCCTTACCGTCTCTAGAGATTGGTCTTTTCTGGACATTTCATATAAACGGAAGCCTACATGTGATCTTCTGCATCTGCTTTTTAAGTTAATCATGGAACTCTTACCTGTTCACATTAGCTAATGTTGCCTCAGGGTCTCAGTTCTTGAAAGAGGTGGCCCATTTCCACCTGTACACGACTGGTACTCAGTTTTAACCTACACACATGAAATTGGGGGTTTTGGGAGAGAAATGCAGAGGTGGGAACACTTTGTGGGGTAGTCAAGCCAGGGAAAGGGACATTTGAGTCCAAAAAGATTGGTTGGTGTCTTAATTGCTTCAGTTACCAATTACTTGTTTGGGGGTTGAACTAGCGTAGCCTGGAGCACATACTGGAAAATGTGGCCCTTCAGCCTTCTTGGCTTTGGAGTCAGAAGGAAGCTGTTTTCAGGGCAGTTGGCAGGCTGCAGCGTCTCTGGGTGTAGGGATCGCATGCTGAAGACCAAAGCTGACCTTCGCAAGAGTCTCATGACAATACCCAGTTCACTGGACTGATGTGGGGATATCATCACGTGCATTATTGCTTGTAAACTATGTCCAATGCGTCTAGCAGAGAGTAAGCTATATTATGTAACTACATAATAATAACTAAATAATAATAAGCATAACAATTACTAATGGTATACAAATTGTTAAATAATTTAAAATATTAAATAATGAATTTCACAATGACAAATAACATGGTTAAATAATAACATAACAAAGGTGCTAATATAATTGTTAATAAATAACATAATTAAATAATAAATATAAATAACATATAGCAATATAAGTAATATATAGCAATATATAATATATATTATAATATATATATAATAAAAATATAAATAATATATAGCAAATATAAGCAACATATAGCAATAAATTAATCTGGGTCAAAATTACTTCAGGCTTATGAAGGGTCAACCAATATTTATTCATTAAGTCTCTATCATGTGTCAGTCCCTATCAGTTGATATCACTGGTCTAGCTTTGGATAAGATACATGGGGTCATTTCTGACAAATGAGAAAGACTCTGAACAAGTCATTATGCATTAAATAATCATAAGGAATGGGAACCTGTATGAGAGTGCAATACAAATGGATCTAGTGCAGTCTGGATGTTCCAGAAGGTTCCATGGAGATTCACATCTAGGCTGAACCTAAGAAGAGGGTTAAACAGGCAAAGGGTGTGTGGTTTTCCTGCCAAGCAGAGAAAATCATCGGTAAATCCCCAAGGCAAGAAAGATGGCGGCACCCTCCGGACACCTACCAAGGGGTGAGCAGAGAGAACACAGGAAGGAAAGTCCAAGGTGAGGCTTCAAGTCCAAGAGCGAGCAAAGTATTGTGAGCCATTTCAATGCTGCTTCTGATCCTAAGAGCCGTTTGGTGTTAATAGGCTGGGGGCAGGGGCTGGCTGGTCTTTGAGAATGGACTTTCTCTCCACAGTGTGGAGATGGATGGAGCAAATAGGTTGGAAGCTTCCAGAAATAAGTTATTGTCATAGTGAAGGCAAGATGCAATGCTAAGGTAGTGATGAAAGTGCAGAGAGAAGTAGATAGCTTCACGAGATACACGGGAGCCAATTCTGGCAAGTTAACAGTTTTATTTTTCTGAGAGAGAGGGAGAAAGGAGACTTTGAGAAAGACTCCAGAATTTCGGCTTAGAAGATGAAGTGTGGGTCCTCTGCTCATGGGTATTTTGTGCCACATACAGGGAAGGCAAGTTGGAGAGACCAGCCCCATGTGGACACAGGGCAGCGGGTGGACAAGCGTAGTGCGGATCGTTGGGATGGACGTTAGAAAGTCAGTTCCTGTTGTAAGTTTGCCTCACACCAGCATGTTTCTTCTTTTCCAGAGTTTGTTAACAGTACGTGTGTCTTTCCATTTATGTATGGCGACTCCATATACTACAACTGCATCTCCCTCCACAGTGATTATGACTGGTGCTCACTCGACAAGAAATTCCAAGGCAGATGGCGGTACTGCACGGGGCAAGGTGGGCATCGCTATGATGGGCTGTCTTGGATGCCAGGGATCCAAGATTCGACTGATAGAAGCTGACTGTGTGATTTTTGATGTTGGGTAAACCCGAGTCTGAATGACTGTTCTCTTGTGTTGACTACTTTGAAAAGAGCTGGGTGTGGGAGACAAAGCATGGGTTTTGAGTTTAGTAATGGTTGATCCCAAAATTTTCCATGTTCATATTTCCGCTTCTGCTCCTTCCTTTCTCTGCAGATCCCCCCAAGTGTGCCTTCCCCTTCCTCTACAGAAAAAAGCTCTTTTATGAATGCACCAAGAATGGCTATGTTTTGAATCGGAGTTGGTGCTCATTGACAAAAAATTATAACCGAGATGGGAAATGGAAGCAGTGCTCTCCTTTTGGGTAAGTTGGCTGGGAAAGAAGGCTCTGTGTGTGTGTGTGTGTGTGTGTGTGTGTGTGTGTGTGTTGTGTTGGGGGGGGTCTCTTAAAGTGGGGAACTTTCTAGGTTAATGAAAAGGGAAGGTTGAGGTTTACATTACTCAGTAATGGATGAGATTGGAGCTCAGCAAACATTTCCTGTAAAGGGCCCATTCATAAGTATTTTAGACTTTGCAGGTTTTATGGTCTCTCACATACTCAACTCTACCCAGTAGCACAAAAGTAGCCACAGGCAATAAAAAACAAATGAACGTGGCTGTTCCAATAAAATTTTATTTATAGACCCTGAAATTTGAATCTCATATAATTTTCAGAGGTCACAAAGTTTCAATCCCCTTTTGACTTCAATTTTTAGCTAAAATTCACTTAAAAATAAGAAAACCAATAGCTCATGGGTCATAACAACAGACAGTCCGTTGAATTTGACCTCTGGGCTCTAGCTTCCTGGCCCCTGGATTGAACGATCTGTCCTTGACCCTATGAGGACGAAGAAATGAAGCTGGTTTCCATTGAAAAGAAGACACAAGAAGGAGAAGAGCCTGGTCAACAGACCACGGAGAGCTCACTCATCTCCGTGCTCTTGTATTACAGTGAGGATTTTTACTGAGTGTACAAAAGTGTCTCAGTCAACCTTCACGATGCCCTCAGGGAATAATTACGGACATGTGTTTATGCCCACAGAGAAATGAGGAAACAAGGCTCAAAGGGATAGGTTATACCCAAACTCAGTGTTAAATCCCATCATCTTAAGGAGGCTTTGTGCAGAGACCACTTACTAGCTGTTCCCATTAAATGAGCCCCTACGATAGGCTCAGTTAAGAGCTTTCCACTCATTACCTCTCTCCCCACCAAAATTGCCTTTTTATGAATCTGGAAACAGACATCGAGAATATGCCCATCGAGATCATGACCTGAGCCGAAGGCTTAACCGACTGAGCCACCCAGGCACCCCTGACTTTTATTTTTTTAATTCTGATTTTGATTTACACAAGTGATGCATGAACACTTGCTCACTTAACATTGAGGCAGCACGTGAATATGGGTAAAACGTTACCCCTTCCCTGTCCCGCTCACATCGCTCTGTTTCCTACTCTCTTCCACGGCGGGAAATCCAACCAACCACTCAGGACATGTTCTTCTGGGTTTATTCTAGGCATTTACACAAAGATAACAATTTCAAGGTCCTTTAAAACATGGATGAGTAATACTGTTTCTTTTGTCCTGTGACTTGATACTTGATCTTCATTTAAATATACACATTATGGTGATTTTTCCACCTGAATTCATAAAGCTACCTCCCTTTTCTTCATGCTTTCACCAAATTTCAAAATACAGATATACTATTCTATGAGAGTATAACCTGTTTGTCTTCAATGGTTACCTTCCACGTTGCTTTTTAAGTGAGTGTGCGAGGGTTGGCTTTTTAAAAGTTATTATTAGAATAACTGAGTGGAATCACGAGGTCAAAGGGTATGTACATCTCGAGGGTGTGTGTTACATTTTGGGTTATTCGAAATTATCCTCTGTCAACATTACTGGACTGCCTGTTTTTAACTTTCTTATCACTGAAAATAACCAATTCAGTGAATCTGTTCACATAGGAGACTATGTGATTTATGTTAAATAATCAAGAAACTAAAATGATCAATAGTGACATGCTGAATTTCAGAGGGAGAGAGAAAGTCTTAAACCTTCCTGTGGCCACTGATTTACAACACATCTGTCTTTCTCCTGTTCCACTAGTTAGTTCTGGGTAGACCAGATCTCCCATCAGAGAGGCAACTGATCATTCTGTCTTGAAGGGTGATAGACTGATACTATCCTAACCTCTGTTTTTCTTCCACAGTCTCTAAATGAGTCTTCGTGTCCTTGAAGAGACAGAAGTTATAGGACTCATCAGTTGCCTCTCAGAATATCTCATTTCCCTGATTATTATGACAATAAAGATTTGGTGTCTCTAACCTGTGGATGACTCCTTTTGTTGAAAAAAAAAAAAAAGTCATGGCCAGTGTTCAGTACAATGCTGACCGTGGTGGGGTGGGGAGCTAGGGGGACATTTGTGGGGAAGAGCTTGCCTTCAGATCCAAATCCTGCTGAATGGCTAACTGCATTATCTTTCGTAAGTTAGGTAAGTTCTCAGAGACTCGAGCTTCTGCTCATGGACTTTTTGAAGTATAATATACACTTTGAATTTTTTTTTGAGGCAAAATTTATGACATAGAATTGCCCATTGTAATGTGAACAATTCAGTGGGACTTAATGTCGTCGAGATGTTGCACAAACAACACCTCTACCGAGATCCAAAACATTTTCACCCCCCCAGAAGTAAACCCTGCACCCATTAAGCAGACAGTCCCCCTTGCCTCTCCTCCAGCCCCCAGCCACCACTCATCTTCTTCTGTTGTCACTATGGATTGACCCATTCTGGATGTTTCATATAAGTGGAATCATCCAACATGTGACTTTTCGTGTCCGGCTTCTTTCATTTAGAATAATGTGGTTTTTGGGGTTTGTTTTTTTGAAGTGAACATAACTTCAAGGTTTTATTGTCTTCATAATATAACAAAATATGAAACTTAGAACTGGATCACTCGGCCCTTCTTCTTCTTATCTCCTCCCAGTTCAAAATGTTTGCATCTCTTAGTAGCCAGCATTCTCTTAGGTCTGCAATTGGGCTCAACACATTCAAACCTCAGCACAACATTCTTTATAGAGTTAGCCTTTTTCCGGAAAATCGGCTTAGTCTGCCCAACATAGCCACTCTGTTTCCTGTCATAATGTCACTTTCCCTGGGCATAAAGAGAATCTTTGCCTTTCTTGTACTGTGTCACTTTGTGGGGTTGGTGCTTGTCACACTTCCTGCAGGAAAGTCTGACGAGTTTAGGAACGTTTACCATGTTTGCGAGAGGGCTATCAGCACCGAAAGCTAGAAGAACGTTTCTGAAGCTCGTCCACTTTGTTGCACACATATCCATAGTTCACTTCTTTTTTATGGCCAAGTAATATTCCATTTTATGGCTATACCACACTTGATTTATCCACATATATAAAATATGTATATTTTATAAAGCACATAGGTGACGTGTGTAGAGACAGGTGAATTTTCACAAACTAAACACGTCACGTAACTGACAGTCATACTAAGAAACAGATCATTTCTGGGGTGCCTGGTGGCTCAGTCGGTTAAGTGTCTACCTTCATCTCAGGTCGTCATCTGGGGGGTCCTGGGATCATGCCCCAGGTCAAGCTCCTTGCTCAATGGGGTGTCTGCTTCTCCCTCTACCCCTTCCTCCCACTTGTGATCTCTCATGCTCTCTCTCAAATAAATAAAATATTTTTAAAAATAAAAAAAAAATAAAACCATACTGAGACACTGGGCGAGTGTTGTAAGTTATAAGACAAGGCGGCTTATAAACAACAGAACAACAGAAGTTTATTTTTCGGGGCGCCTGGGTGGCTCAGTGGGTTAAGCCACTGCCTTCGGCTCAGGTCATGATCCCAGGTCCTGGGTTCGAGCCCCACATCGGGCTTTCTGCTCAGCAGGGAGCCTGCTTCCTCCTCTCTCTCTGCCTGCCTCTCTGCTTACTTGTGATTTCTCTCTGTCAAATAAATAAGTAAAATCTTTAAAAAAAAAAAAAAGAAGTTTATTTTTCATGGTGCAGGAGGCTAGAGGTCTGAGATCAGGGCCCCAGCATGATCCAGTGAGAGCCCTCTAGTGGGGACAGGGGAGGGGGTGATGGGCAGACTTCTGCTTGTCTCTGAGCAGGGCAGAAGAGGGGGAGCTAGCTCTCTGGGACCTCTCTTGTAAGAGCCCACTCATTATCAATCCATTCACCCTCCTGAACTAATCAGCTCCCAAAAGCCCCCACCTCCTAATACCATCACTGGGGGCATTAGGTTTTCTAGATAAGAATTTGAAAGGGGCACAAACTTCAAGCCCTAGCACTAGCAGAAATGCAAAATCGTAAGCCACTCTGGAAAGCAGGCAGCCTCTCAGCAAGTTCCATGCTCTCCATAAGTTCAATGTCACATTCTATGTCCGGCTCGCTTGACTTGTAGTCATTACGCACCTGATATTTGAGCTCATGTAACACTATTTCATTGCACAAATGCCCCCAAACTTATTTTATCCTTTTTATTCCTGATGGGCATTGGGAAGTTGCTCGCTTGGGTTTATAACCCTTAATCCACCTTTGACTGTATCTGTCTGTACATGTCTTGGAGCACGTTTCTTTCGGGTACACACCAAGGACTGGGATTGCCTGATCCTAAAATGTGTGCACATTACAATTTGGTGACTTCGGGCCACTGATTTCCAAGGAGATTGCTCCGATTTAAATTAGAACCAGCCACCGTTCCAAATCCTTGCCAAATTAGTATTTTCTAGCTTTTTGGCTTTAAATTATAGGAATGGAAGCAAATATTATGTTACCTCTGTCTTTTTCCTGTTTTCCTCGCAGGAAAAACTAAGAGCCTCTCTCCCATCCAGCCCAAGGTCCTGGCTCAGAGGCAGCGGTGTATGGGTGCCCCCTGGTGGCCTCAGGACATCACAACAGGTTTCTCTGTCCCCACTCCCCCAAAGGAGGCCCTGAAGGAACCCCATCTTTGATCTGACCTGTGTCTCCAAGCACATTGTTTACCATGACAATATTAAAGCTACACTAGTTTGGAGGTATTTCCTGTTAGGCACTTATCTAGAGGAATTTTAGGCAAAGACTAAAAAAAAATGGGGAGGCTTTAATTTTTTACAAGCAAAATCATTGGTGGATACTGTGTTCGCTTACTATAAAAACAACTACCCTTAAAAACCTTTCTTTTTTGTGGCACTTGACTTTTTTTAGATGGATTTTAGCTAAAAGGGTGATGCAGTGTTCCATGATTCATCGTTTATGTATAACACCCAGTGCTCCCTGCAATCCGTGCCCTCCTTAATACCCACCACTGGGGTCACCCCTCCCCTCCGAAACC